TTATTTTGTCATATCTTACACTGTCCGATGTCTCCCTTCACCCACTTTTCTGTTGTCCATCCCCCAGGGAGGGGCGCTATATGTAGATCCTTGTGATCGGTTCCCCTTTCTACCCCACCTTCCCCTTACCCTCCTGGTATCTCTACTCTCATTATTGGGCCTGAGGGGTTTATCTGTCCTGGATTCCCTGTGTTTCCAGTTCTTATCTGTACCAGTGTATATGCTCTGATCTAGCCGTATTTGGAAGGGAGAATTGGGATCATGATGGGTTGCAAGGGGGGGTGGAGCATTAAAGAGGAAAAGGTGTATGTTTCATCATTGCTGAACTGCACTGACTGGCTCTTCTCCCCACGACCCTTCTGTAAGTGGATGTCCAGTTGCCTACAGATGGGCATTGGGTATCCATTCCACACACCCCCCTTATTCATAATGATACGATTTTTTGTTCTTTGATGCCTGATACCTGATCCCATTGACATCTTGTGATCACACAGGCTGGTGAGCTTCTTCCATGTGGGCTTTGTTGCTTCTGAGCTAGATGGCTGCTTGTTTATCTTCAAGCCTTTAAGACCCCAGACACTACATCTTTTGATAGGCGGGCACCATCAGCTTTCTTCACATCTGCTTATGCACCTGCTTTGTCTTCAGCGATTGTGTTGGGAAGGTGAACATCATAGAATGCCAGTTTAATAGAACAAAGTGTTCTTGCATTGAGGAAGTACTTGAGTAGAGACCCAATGTCCATCTGCTACCTTAATACTAAACCTATAAATATATGCACATAGATTTCCCCATCGTCATATTTACATATGTACATGGATGTATTTAGACCTCTATAAATGCCCACTGCCTCCGTTTTTTTCTGTTTCCTTTTACATTCCTCCTTGTCCCACTATCACGCTTAGCCTTCATTTGGGTTTCAGTAATTCCTCTCGGTTACATTGCCCTTGATCAAGCCCTACCAGGCACCCTACACCCTCCTCCCATCGATTTTGCACCTCTCCCTTTCTGGAGGTGGCATGCTCCATTTTTAGCATTAAACCCCCACCCCCCACTTTCCTGTTCTCTCCATGTGGCTCTCCACGGGGTCTTCTGTTCTTGTCTGGGAGAAGGTCCTATCACAAACTTTCACTCATAGATGTTTATTTTCACTAAAATCAAAACAAGAACACGATTACAGAGGACAGGTTTTATATTTTATTAAATCACATAATTACAAAATTATCGTCTTTCATATGCAAGCAATTTGCTATGCCAATAAAGAAATTTCCACAACTCAAATCTGAGCGACCTATTGGCCCCTTACAGATGTGGATCCCAAGGAAGCTTTGATCTGTGGTGAAGGGCTTCAAAGAGGCTCCTGATTCTGCCCAAAGGCAGGGAGAACATCAGTGTCTCCACACGGTGGAGGCCACTGTGAAAGCTAGTGATGCTAACAGACCCTGCCTGGTGAGCACTGCAGTTAAGGCAAGTTCACGACCTTTGATTCCTGGGAGCCTCACATAATTGGCAGGTGGGACCTCCAGCCCCGTTTTACAGATACTCTGGGAAGAAGAAAAAGGTAACTAGCCTGAAGTCACCCAATGGCTTGTGGCTGAAAAGCCTATTTTCTGGCTACCACAGGCCTTGGCACAAAATAGACATTTGATGGAGGCTTTTGTCTTTCCAGGGCCAGTTCTGTTGCTATGTAAATTCCAGATTCTCAAAACAAGGCAATCCCAAAGTACTAGTAAGTCTCGTGGAACAAGCAGGCAAAAGAATACCATGGGCTGGAAAACAGAGCCAAAGAACAGTGTCACGGGCCAGCAGCCGTCACCCTGGAGGGTAGGGCTCCGTGGGCTTGAACACAGACCTGCTGCTGATGGCCTCCCTCAGACCCCAACTCCATTACTAGCTGGCTGTCCCAGGGCGAGTTACTCAGCCTGTTTCCATTCTGACATGACCAGTGGGAAAATAACCTCCGGGTTAAAAGCATTCAAACACCGGTAGGCTGTCCAGTCAGTACTGTTTAGTTGGCCCCTGGGTTTGTGGGTCAAGGAACAAGTGTTGGTCTTCGGGGACAGGGGCATCATTGCCCCTAACTTCCTACATTTGGAGTGTCATCTGCCTGCCAGAATTCACCTCTGCACCATCCCCAGAATGAATTGCCCCCTTCTTGAGATTCCTGCATTATAATGCTTCATCGTCTCTAGCTGGAGTTGTAAAGACACATCTTAGGTATCTTCGACTTTGTATCCAACTCTTATTAGGGTGACCTCCTGTGAAAGTGGTATTTTCTAGGTCAACACGATTGGTTGGCAGTTTCATAGGGTCAGCCTCATCAATGGACTGAGCTAGACTACACTGAGGACTCAGCTTGGCTGCGTTAGCCTACTCTTGCCCACACCTACCAAGGACCTAAAGAGATGCTCTAACACAGGATGAGTCAAGGGACGTCCATTTAAGGGACGTAACAAACCCAGGGAGGATGCGGACCTTTAGAACTGAGGCACAAACCTTGGGAAGAGACCTACACCTCCCTCTGGTGACCTGCCCTGGCCCGGCCTTCTCTACTTGTCCCTCTTTCTAGACAATTAGATTATCTGGGTTTCCCTGACAACATCTGGAGCTGAGGAAACCGAGGAGGGCGGGGATGTCTGGGACTGCCCACTCACATAGACTTGCCCAGTAGCAGTTGGGAAAACTGCCTGTGGTTGCTTAGCGACAGCCATGTGCTGATTTCTTCCCAACATCCCCAGAGAAATGAATGAGCATTCATATCTCCCAGGGTGGAAGCTGATCCACAAGGGCTGGCCCAAGGAGCAAGTTAGACACTTGTCTGGGGGACAGGGGAACAAGGAATTAGACCTGCCCCAGGGCTGGACCAATTTAAAGTTGCTGTGGGAAGATCTGAGAACTTCTCTTTCTTTCTGGAAAGACCTCACGACTCCCCACAGTGCACAAGGAGGTCAAGGCTGGGTGACCTCTGAGGCTTTCCCAGCTCAGCTGTCCTGTGATTCAATGACTACCAGCTACTGGCCTTTCCTCTCCACCTGCCCTGTTCCTGGTGGGGAGTGCACAGGCCATAGCTGCGTCAGAATGCTTCCAATGTGATTGGAAAGGGAGGCCCCGGACTTGTGTCTCTAAGTAGGAAAGAGACAGCTTGGGGAGACTTTGGGGCTTGCGGGGAGGCAGTGAAGGCCGGGGAAGACTGAGCGAGGTCAAGGAAAGAGAGGGCTTTCCTGTGCCCTGTGTGGTGATCTGGCGTGGAGGAGGGCAATAACAAAGGCTTCAGGTCTTTGTGACCCTGAGGTCTGCTCGGAGGGTCCCTGAGAAGAGCAACAGGAACTTGATGAGGGTGAGTAGTTTGGGGCAGACTAGAAAAGCCTTGAATGCTAAGGCAAGGTGCTTTCCCCCCCAACCCCTTGTCATCTTGGGAGAGAGCTCCAGGAATAGTTCCGAGAGGTTAGAGGTTAGGTGCGACATTTGAGGTTGTTCACCAGGCTGGGGATGAAAGAGGATTCAGCGCATCCCGTGTAGACACTCTCCAGCCGCTCTGAAGGGAGGTGATAGGGGCATGCTGAAGACATCAGTCTCAGAAGCAGACCACAAGACAGTTAAAAGAGACCCAACAGGCAGAGTGGGCGCCCGCCTGGCTCCGTGCCCAGCCACCGGCATCTCGTGCACTTACTATGTGCCAGGCACAGTTCTAGGTGCTGAGTCAATTAGGGTCCCAGGCTGAGGGTCAGGAACGCCGACGGCTTACAGTTCAGTGTGCAACGTCTCTTCCGGGGACCCGAACTCAAAGCACCGCCGCCGAGAGTAGACGCTGCAGGGAGCAGTAGTGCAGGCGCCTTCTTTAGGCCATCTCTGAATGGCTGCTGGGAGCACAGGCCTGACTGCTCGCGAGGGGAGTGCCCAGGTGTGAGCCAGGAGGCAGTGGCCAGTCGCAGCGGGGTTGGGGGACATCAGAGGCTGGCGCTCAGTCCCTGGCCCCTAGGGCAGCCTGGGGATGCTGATGGCGCCTTCCCAGAGCCGCAGGGCCGGGAAGACTGGGTCCAGGAAGGTGGCGCGGAAGGTGTGCAGGTGGCTCATGCCCCCCGTCACGTCGTAGAAGGCCAGGACGCCGGCTTCGTAGTCCAGGAAGACGCCCAGGCGGTCGGGGTCGTGGCGGGGCCGCAGGCGGTGCCGCTGTCCGTCGTGGAAGGCCCAGTACTCCAGGTCGAAGCGCTTGAGGCACCACGACTGGCGGTTGCAGCCCAGGCGCGCGGGCGCCTGCGAGCCGCGGCGCCGCAGGGAGGCGTAGGCCGCGCCCACCCACCAGCCGGCGCCCGCCTCCTGCACGTCCACCTCCCAGTAGTGGCGGCCGGCCGCGAAGCCGTCGCGGCCCAGCACCTGCCACAGCGCGTCGAAGCGCAGCGCGGGAGCCGGGCCCAGGCGGCACCACAGCCCGACGCGAACCGTCAAGCGGTCGGCGGAGAGGCGCAGGCGCGCGTGCATCGTGTCCGGCTCCAGCGTGGGCGTGCGCGCATCTGCGGAGGGGCGGGGTAACGGACCGCGCCTGGTGGGCGGGGCCAGAGCGGAGCCCCGCCCCCTGGGAAACAGTCTCCCGTCTGCGCGTGGGGCTCCCAGCGCTGAGGGCGGGTAGGGGTCCCCTACACGTTCTCAGTGGAAAAGGGGAAAACCCAGAACTCTCCAAAGGCACATGAAAAGCCTTCCTCTTAACCCAGACTGCCTCGGGGGACGTGACTGGGAGACTCGAGGAGTGGGCAAAATGTTACTGGACATTCTTCCTAGCCTTTGCCAATTTCTAAAATTTCATCCAAAAGACAAAAAAAAATCCAACAAACTATCACTGTTAACACGAAATATGCCCTTCCAGCCTCTCTCTCACCTTTCCCCTTACCTGCTACTTAAAGCTTGCTTAAGATTGGTATCATACCATACACACAAAACTAACTTGCAGTTAGAATCAGCAGGTGGTTACTGTCAGTGGAGAGTGAGTAGGAGGGGGTATGTGAGAGTGGGGTTCTGGGGAGCTAGAAAGGTCCATGTCTTGATCTGGAGGAGGTTACAGGATAGATTTACTTTTACACATGCCTTGAGCTTTATTTATTGCCCAGTGCGTTTAATATTTCAATTCAAGTTTATTTTAAAATGCATGCGATGAGAACAAGAACAAAATGTTCTAAAACTGACTGTAGTGATGATTGTACAACTCTTCTTAATGTGACTGAACTATTGAATTGTATGATTTGTGAATCACATATGCCAATAAAACTTAAAAATGCATGCAGATGGAAACAAATGTACAAATGTGCCTGACACAATGAATGTATGTATGGATTGTGATAAGAGCTGTATGAGCCCCCAATAAAATGATTTTTAAAAATGCTCTCATTCCCTTAATACAAGAGCACCTTGCTCAGCTAAACAGTCATTTCATGATACCCACCTTCCCGACATGATCACCGAAGACAGACATGTGCATAAGCAAATATGGTGAAGAAAGCTGATGGTGCCC